TAACAATCATCAGTATCGATTATTGTACATATCGTTAACAATATAAATGACTAAATCGAGAACAAAATCAATTATTTAATTGATTATTATACCGATAACAATATCCATTATTGTATCGATAACAATATGGATTATTATATTGATTATTATATCGATTACAATAGCGGTTATTTAATCAATAACAGTATCGATAAAAATATCGATTATTTTATCGATAGCAATATCGATTATTATATCGATAAAAATATCGAGTTTTATGTCGATAACAATATCGATCTTCATCCTCATCCTTTTCTTCATATTTATCTTTATTTTTGCATATTCCTCTTCACCTTTACCTTAAAGTGTTTAAATCTACTTTGATCTTCGTTTTTGCCTGTACCTCTAGGCATCTTTGTTTTTGTTTTTATTCTCAAACCGCTAAACCGCTGATAACCATTTCCATGTGCATTATTCCCCTTGAATTTGACAATTTACTCCCAACCAACCAACTGCCGCTAAAGAAGTTTCACTTCATAAATTCAAGAAATCTTCTTACCCTTTCAGTTACCCTAATTCTTATGTATCTGTCATTGTCTCCATTTTCCTCTTTATCTTCACTTTTGCCTTCTTTTTTTTGACTTCATCGTTATCATTTATTTCTTCATCTTCATATTTATCTTTATTTCAAAGCTTAGTTTCAAATGTGTAGTGAAACAACAGGCGAAACATGTCAAATTGAACATGTTGCAGCAACATCTATACACAATTAGAAAATGTTTAAACGACGGTTTCGGCCGTAATTTTCAACCAATTGTGAAACCATAAAAACTCTGCTCATCTACGGAAAAATTCCTACCCAACGGTGTTCTTCGTTTTGAAATCGGTTCGGTAGAATCGCCAAACGAACGGAGACAAAATTTATGTTAGCGTATTAATATATAGATTAATGCTCGTAAAAATATTGAAATTTACTCAAAATTAGTAACGAACAAGCAAAAATTAAAAATTAAAAAAAATATATTGAAAATATCGTAATACCATGTCCCCACCAAAAAGTTAACCGTCTCAAATCGAACTTAACCACATCTCTAACTATCGCTGTCCACACTGCGGTTTGAGGTTTATAAAACAGTACAAATGTAAAGAACAGTGGTCGGACATCCAAAACTCGATTCAGGACTAAATCGCTGCAAAAATCGGAGCAAAAACAAATTTTCCGTACTAGATTGAATTTTTTATTTTCGTTTCTGACATTAATTGTTTGACTTAAATATTTTCTATTCATTCAAAAGTTACAACGCGAGGGCAAGTAAGGATAATATGTTACATATTTAGGTAATCTTTGGCATTTTCTATAAAGTAGAACGTATCTAACACTTAATTTTTTAAAGAGCAATAGGATCTAAACTTCTCAACTTTATGTATATTTAAAAACTTAAGTAAAGTTCTGCAACCGCCAATTTCTACAGCCATACATCAAAAATTAACGAAGTTACTTTATCGACACATTTATATGAAAGACTTACTTTTTAACAGTGAGATTTGGCTAACTTTCACTGAAACTGGTGGTGAACACTCAAAAACGGTCCCAAGAGGGGCATAACATGACTGAAAAAATGGGGTCGATTTGAAGTCAAGCGAAGTAGAGGAGTAGATTTCAAATTTTTTCAAAAAGAGGAGTAAGTCTATCTCACTATAAAATCTAATCTAAATCTAATCAAACAGTAGTAAGGAACGAATTTTTTACATTTTAACGCTAATGACCCACAGATGGCGGGAAAACACAGGGCTGTATCAGACTTTCGACGTGGTTTCGAGTTGATTAGCTATTAACCATCTCAGTGAAATGGTTAAGTGCTGTCATTTTTATATGGCGAAACTACGCTAAATGAAGTGGGTTATCGGGATACCCAACTCAACAGCCATAACTACGTGGTTAGCTCCGGTGGGGACATGGTATAAGTATACAGGGTGTCCCAGAAGTAACCTGCCAAACTTTAGGAGAAGGCAGGTGGGGTGGAGAGCTCCCTGATAAGCAAAAATTTGACTATCTCTGGTGAAAAACAAATGTACTGAGCTATAACTTTACATTACATAAAAAAATTGCCCATTTAATAAAGATTTCAGAAAGGTGCAACTCTTACTATTTCGAATAGAAAACAAAAAAAATATAGCCGCTTTTGTGGGTAAAGGACTGAGACACGCTAGAATGTATTTAATAGATTTAAATTTAAGTTGGTCTTGTTACCGACCAATGACATGCTAAATAGTACAAAGGTACATTATTACTTGCTCCTGACATTATTTTGTGTTACTTACCGAAAATAATGAAAGTGGATTTTGTGAAATTGGACCCTTCGAACATTGTGTTATTAATACTATAACAGAGAACACGCAGTATACGTCGCATGAATATGCGGATATTCACCTAATTTACGGTGAAGTTTGCTGTAATGCCAGAGCTGCTCAAAGACTCTATGCAGGGCGATACCCAAATCGTCGGCATCCGGGTCGTGAAGTATTCCCCCGCACCCATAGAGAAATTTCTGAAGGTAAGTAATTTTTACACCTTTCTTGTTTGAAGCCTTTCTCCTTTAAACTATCATTTTTAACTTTTTTAAGGTCTCACACCTGGAAGGCGTGGCGGTGAGACAGGACGTACTGCAACGGTAGATGTTAAAGTTGTGTTAGAGGAAGTGGAACTAGGTCCATCGACTTCAGTGAGAATGATGGAAAGACGGACTGGAATACCAAAAACTAAAGTTCACAAAGCTTTAAAATACCCTCCCTACTACATTCAACGTGTTCAGGCTCTACAAGAAAGAGATTACCTGTCGAAGGTTAGATTTTGCCGTGAAATGTTGCGAATGCATGATTCAGACCCCAACTTTTTTAATAAAATAATTTGGAGCGATGAATCATCATGCAAACGTTATCGTTATTTTAATTTACATAACCTTCACAGTTGGCAGATAGACAATCCTCACGAAATGAGATAAGATCGTTTGCAGTACCAGCACAAAATAAATTTCTGGTGCGGTATTTTTAATTGTCAGATATTGGGACCTGTGGAACTGCCGCCAACGCTTAACTACCACAGTTGTTCCTTCAAGTTCCTTCAGGAACGGCTTCCAACTCTTTTAGAAGATGTACCCTTAAACCTGCGGCGAAGACTATGGACGGATGCCCTGCTCACTACGGGCGTGAAGTAAGAGCTCATTTAGACGAAACTTATCCTCGCCGATGGATTGGACGATACGGGCCAATCACGTGGCCCGCTCGATCGCCAGACCTGAATCCATTCGATTTTTTCTACTGGGGCTGTATTAAGGACAAAATTTATTCAAAAATAATTCAAAACGAAGAGCATTTTCGGGAACAAACAAATTGAGCTGCTGCTGAGATAGCCCAATTGAGTTTAGGATCTCTAAAAGCGTATTTTCTTAAAAGGTGCCAAGCTTGTATTAGAGTAAATAGAAGGTCGCCAATTTGAGCATATTTTATCAATAAATGAAAAAATTTTTTTTCAAACAACTCATGTATATTCTACTTCACGTGAACCCATCCTTCACAAAAAGTATTGATAGATAGAGCCCTTGTTATTGACTCTAGTCCGAATCCCGGTAAGTAACACAAAATAATGTCAGGAGCAAGTAATAATGTACCTTTGTACTATTTAGCATGTCATTGGTCGTTAACAAGACCAACTTAAATTTAAATCTATTAAATACATTCTAGCGTGTCTCAGTCCTTTACCCACAAAAGCAGCTATAACTTTTTTTTCTATTCGAAATAGTAAGAGTGGCACATTTCTGAAATACTTATTAAATGACCAATTTTTTTATGTAATGTAAAGTTATAGCTCAGTACATTTTTTTTTTTCACCAGAGATAGTCAAAGTTGGGAAAAAAATATCAAAAAGTTAAAAATCCCAAAATAGCCCTAATTTTATAATGGTTCCTTAAAATATTTTTACTACATTGCATTTGAATATGGAGAAGCAACTATCTGGAAGTATTTTACATAAAAAATTTACTAAGTATAGGCTTGTTTGTAGATGCAGTTAAATAAAAACATGAAAAGGCACGATCGTTTTTTAATTCAAAAAAATTTAAATATTTCAAAAACGGTGACACTTATACCTGAAAAATTTTTGTTTATCAGGGAGCTCACCCCCCACCTATCTTCTACCCAAGTTTGGTAGGTTACTTCTAGGACACCCTGTATAATGTAGGCAAGTTAAGCGATTGTTATCGGCTACCATAGTTAGATGGCAGTCGTTAAGCCATGTCAGAGGCCTGAAAATGTTAAAAATATACCAATTTTTTGATAGATGGGTTTAATATCACGATACCCCAAATACCTACCTATAAATATAAATATCACAATACAAAAATTAAGATATTTAACAGTAATCGTGATTGTCGCTGTCATCTTCCACGGATACTGGAGGTAAAAAATTGCATCTTCTGAAATTCTCTTCTTCTTTTGCATTTTGTGCCTTGAGCGAATGCTGCTGAGGTAGGGGTATGAAGTAAGGAGCAGCCTGTTTGTAACGTCTTCCAAGCAATCAGACCGTGAAATATTTCTGGAATAGTTTTCTCTGTATTGCCGGAAATGCCTTTTCCTGGCCTCCGATGCCTCCTCTGACAGCTGTCCTATTGGCAGCAAAGAGTGCTTATGACACTCGGCAAATGTAATAATATTTTGTGGACAGTAGGAGACATTGGCTGCCAAGGATACAAGTTTACATAAACTTTTGCTGTCTCGAAGGTATAGACGCCAAGTTTTTAGTATCTATTTCGAATCGCGATGATAAAACTTCCAATATCACTCGAAATCTCTCAATCAGATCTGACTTTGAACATTGATTACGCAGGTTCGATCCCTGCTGAAGTCTAGAAAAAAGAAGTCTGATGAGATGTGGTGATCTCCGAAATAGTGCTATAACTTCTACCGCTTAGA